TGCGCGCTTCCACACGCGGCCCTTCGCGCGCTGTGCCTGTGCTTCCCGCAGCCGCGACCTGCGGGGCAGCGCTTCCAGGCGATGATCGCCTACCGCGTCGGCGCGGCCCGCGGTGAGTGTGCTGGGTCCCCCGGGGTCCCCCAGGGGTCCAGGTGCCCCGGCAGAGGGAAGGAAGGAGATTCCTACTTCTTGTCGCGCTAGCCTGAGGCTTCCGTGCTCCACAGCGTCTCCACCTACCTTCTTCCTCCAGGTAGGCCACCCTGGTTTCTCTCGGCTCCTGGCAGTTTCAGCCTCCCAGCCAGACACCATCTTCTGTGTCCCTCTGGCCTCCCTGCGATTGCAGTGACCTGTCTGGGTTACCCCTCAGTCCCTCTCAGTCCCTCCAGGACATCGCGTGTCTGAGTCCTTTTCTGCGAGAGGAGGAAACGTTGTCCTCTGCAGCTTTCTGGATAACGAAATATCGGTAGATTGGAGTTAGTGTCGCCCCTGGGCTTTGGGGCCCAGGTCTCTGGTAATTGATTTCTGCCGCGTGGTGGCCGGTGGGTTACCCCGATGCTGACCCGGGCCTTTCGTGTCCCCTTGTCTTGCCGCAGGCTGAACAGCTCTGAGCTCAGATAATTGTTTTTGTTCCCTTCTGTGAAGTCTGGGATTTGATTAGCAAAGGAGTTTCATTAAAAGTCAGAACTAGAATTAGAATACTAGGCTTTATAATAACATGGCCTTCTCACGTGTTGAGTCCGCAGCCTTAAATGGGGGGGGGGCGAATATTGGCAATGAGAGGACAGATAGAAGGTTATGTGGCGGTCGTCAGTAAGTCAGGAAACCCCTGTGGAGAGTCCTCAGACTGTGGCAGGAGTCCCTTCTGAGGTGGGCGGGTTCCAGGTGTCATGGGAGGCTGCTGGCCTGCCACCGAAGTGGGTTCGTGACTAGCAGTCCCCTCTCCTGCTCTCGGAGCTGGCTCAAAGGGCCGTTCTGCTTCTGTCTTTCGCCACTTGAATTAATGAACTTATGTTAGAACTGGTTTCAAAAACGAAAGTCCAAAGCAGTGCAAACTGATCTCCAGGGCAAAGGAGAAACCCAGGGCCCCTAAGGACAGTGACATCTGGAAGCGTGTGCGGTTGCTCCTTTATGTGCTGGTTCCTGGCTCCCGGCAGGAACTAGAAATTAAACAAGGTAGCTGGACAAATTCAGTCTCCCCGAATCTGCCTCCTCAAAGTGGCCCCGAAAATTAAGTATCGGAACTCAACAGCTTTTATTTAAGACACGACAGCAGAGATCCGCGCTCGCAAAGAACTGTCTTTGCACCGTGAAGGTTCCCAGCCGATGGCACGTGTATTTATTCCTTCTCGCTGCCGCCATCCCGGCGAGGTCCCCCTGAGTCCCTGGAGGTCCTGGTCTCCTGGACTTCCGACTCTTTCTGTAGCTCGGGGACCGCCTGCTCCTTCACGCTCCTCGCTCATGCCGTTAGAAACCAACGCGCAGACGTGGCGGGTGAGGGGTCGCGGCGGGGCCTGACGTGCCGGGCACTGGTCGGCGTTTGAGACGTTCAGCGAGCTGTCTGCACGCGCACCTGCTACCTGGCGATGCTCTGGTGGCCCTGCTGTCATTCTCTGTACTTTATTTTTTTTTTTCATTAATAAGAGTTATGTTTCAAAAAACAGTTTAAATATGCAGGAAAACTGAATGCGTAGTATGGAGTTTCCTTCTCCACACACGCAGTTCCCCCGACCAGCCTTGTTTGTGAAACTCAGCGCGCCGGTCCTGATGCCTGGAGCCGCGTCCCTCGTCCTTTCGAACCTCTTTACCCTTCACTTAGCATCTTCTGTTCTGGAGCCCGTCGGGAAAGCGCGCGGTGCGCTCGGCGCTCCTGCCTCCGCGGGCCGCTCTCGGCTGAGACTGTCCCAGCCTTTCCTTGTTTCCGGCGCCTGCGGCAGCCCGAGGTGTGCTGGCCCTTGTATTGCAGGATGCCCTTCTCTCGGGACTGACCTGCTGGTTTTCTCCTCACTAGACCGGGCTCTGGGTTTTAGTTTTTTAAAAAGCGGACGCTGTTTTAGCGCGGGCGTAGGTTCACAGCGAAATCGGGCGGCGGGTCACAAGGTCAGACTGCGTTTCTGCGCATGACTGGTGACCCCGCCCCCCGGCCGAACCGGTGCTGTCCCGTTTCTCCGCTTTACGCTTGAAAACAGGCTTGTTACGTTTTTCGCATACATGCGAAAGTAAAAACTTAAGCAAAGAAAACCCCAACGTCCCTATGCGGGCCTTGCTTGAGCCTCTTACAAATAGGCCCGCAGTGCCCCTGGGTGCGGCGCTCCTTGCACCTGCCCTCGCAGGCGGCCTCTCCGCGCCTGGGCGCCCCGGG